CCAAGATGCTTTATTCTTAGAGAAATGAAGAAAAGCAGATATGCTTTTCCTATGCTAACTGCTACCAAGCATAAAGACTTCTTCATTTTCACATTCCAGTTCATGAGGGAGGAACCCAAGCCCAGATTAAAGTTTTTACATGCTTTCTGACCTGGACCAAATGAAGAAGAATTTGGAAACCTATTTTGCAAGATCCTGTATGAATGTGTACTATTTATTTCTACATTTACTAGAATGGACAAACAATATGAAATAGTCGGTGGCAAAATAAGAAATAAATTTAGTTAACATTAGTCACCTACTCCTGTATGTCATTTACTTTCTGGTTTGTATTATTCTTGAGGGAATGCACAAGGAGAATAAGAAACACTATGGAAAACACCAATGGTTAATGGCCCTTCCAGTGAGCTACACAGTTGCAGTAACAAAAATCTTTTTTTCTCCTTTTCAAAATAGTTTGCAGCTTTGCCATAGTCATCTAAGTATTCTGATTTTTTTTTTTTTGGGGGGGAGATAGTTTCATATCAAAAGAGGAGTTTTCTTCTAAAAAATTCTGAGCAAGAATTTAATGAATTAAAGAGCATTCCAGACCACATATTAATTTCATACTTTCAAAGGCCTTCTTGCACATCATGGCAATTTAAATGGAAAATAATTATGAACTTATTTTTAACTGCCCCATACAGTAATTTCAATGGAAATACAGTAAGTGAATACTAATTTATAATAATTAGTAGGTCTCCATACAATAGGAAAATTAATATAATTTGTTGCACATTATATAATTAGATTTACTAAAGATTATTTCAACTTTGAGAATAATCGAAGCCTTTTCCAAAAAGCATATGCATATCAAATACAGCTAGTGAAGCATTAAGACAGTTTACACAAGATGTCTTTAATGTGGGATTCACAAAGTACTTGACAAAGATTATCTTTCACTACAAAAACCAGCAAGAATCATTATTCAACATTCTGTACTAGGAAAGAGGGGCACTCTCTGAAAAGGATATTAACCAACTGCTATCATCACACATAAAGTAGCTAAACTGGGAAAAGAACCCAAAGCTTCTGGCACCTAATTCCCTGCTGAAGGCACTGGGCTACATTACATCAAGTTATACAAACCAGCACTGACATCAGCAGAAGTACAGTTTATCCCCTCCAGCATTTTAGAATGTCAGTCTCCATAACACTCTCAGTGTTTCTTTTACAACACAGCAAGTATTAGATTTAATTGGTACTAATTATAATTAGGAAATGTAAACACTTCAGTATAAGCAAATCAGATTTTTTTTTCTTACAGTACTTCCAACTTCACATTGACTAGAAATGATGGGAATTCCGCGTGTGGGAAAAACCTCAATATCTATGAGTTCCAGCCCTATTTTCAAGCCAGAAGTTTCAGAAAAGCATCTGAGTGTTGGATACTTGCTGTGAGCTGGCAAAAAGATAACAGACAATTTTTTCTTACGTTTGCTTAAACCAGCCACAACTCTTTTTTAAACAAACAAAACTGAAAACAGATGCTTATTGGATGCTCAGTATTATCAGCTAATTTCAGAGAAGCGGCTGAGTTTGCAGACACCTCTGACCTTGACATTTGTCCAATGCCTATTCTAGTGTCATAAATCAAGATGGGTTTCTGTGTTATTTTTCCCTATCTCTGGTGTGCAATTCTATAGGATTTCCATTCTAATGCCCCAGAAAGTACCATCCACCATTATAAAGATTCAAATCAATCATGTGACTGACAGAAAAATAGAGTCAATCATTGCAGAATCTGGCAACCTACTGAAAAGTCATCTCAGAATAAGGTAGAATAAGACGTCAAAAGATGAGAAGTTAAATTATACAAAATTGCGTTGAATTAGATACCATAAAGCATAACATTATAAAGCAAAAGAAGAACAAGGGAACATGAGCAAAAGTGGACAAGCGAGTAATCCAGGTGGTTTTGTTCTCTCTAGTATACAAAAGACCTCACTAAAAAGTGTTCCAATAAATATAATATATAGAACTTGCTGTCGCAGAACAGCTGCAGGAATGTATTCTCTCTCTCTTTTTTCAAAAAAAATATACATTATTCACACACATAAGGATAAAATTTTCTGTCACACTGACAAAGATAAATATATCTCAATCTTCACATCAATAGGCATAAACAGGGAAAAAATTTGGAAGAATATGTTTTTCTATTTGAAATGCTAATGCACAATTGAATTGCAATTTTATCTAAAGCAGGACTAGTCTTCTTCCAAGATCAACTGGGTATTTTCATAATATTCCACGCATAAGAAAGTGGAGTATGATAAAAATGGTAGCTCAGCATTGCAGAAGGATTCAGGTACTGGGTTGTCTTTATTTTTAAGATGGTGTTGATATGATTTTCTATTCCTTCTGCTGGTTTTGGTTGGTGTGGAGCTAACTTTCTTCACAGGAACTCCTATGGTGCTGTAGATTGGATTTGTGACCAAAAGAGTGTTGATAACACATCCATGTTTTAGCTGTTGCTGAACATTATGCCTGCACAGCATTCAGGCCTTCTCTATTTCTAATGCTGATGTTCAGAAAGTAGGCTGGGGATGAAAAAGAAATTGGGAGGGGCCAAGCCAAATCAATCAAAGGGATAACTCATACCACGTAACATCATGCTCAGAAATAAATCTGGGAAAAGAAGGAGGAAGCAGGGGAGAAATTCAGAGTTTTGATACTTGTCTTCCTAAGTAGAGGTTATGTGGGATGAAATCCTGCTTTACTGGTAATGTACAATTTAGAAATGTGAGTTCTAAATGGAACTTAGAAATACTGTGGCCAACAGGATTAGGGAGGTGATAAAACACACTGTACTTGGCACTGGTGAGGCCACACCTTGAATTCCATGTTCAGTTTTAGGCCCCTCACACAACAAAGACCTTGAGGTGATGGAGTGTGCTCAGAGAAAGGCAGTGGAGCTGGGGAAGGGTCTGGAGCACAAGTCCAAGAGCAGCGGCTGAGGGAGCTGGGGGTGTTTAATCTGGGAGGCTCAGGAGAGGCCTTATCATGCCCTACAACTCCCAGAGAGCACAGGGGGGTCAGTCTCTTCTCTCAGATAACAAGTGACAGGACAGATGTGTCAGGGGAGTTTCAGATTGGATGTTGGGAAAAATTTCTTCACTGAAATGGTTATCAAGTATTGAAACAGGCTACCCAGGAGAGTAGTGGAAGAACCATCCCTGGAAGAGTTCAATAAGAGTGTAGATGTTGTGCTTAGGGACACAGTTGAGTGGTAGAACTGGTAATATTAGGTTAATGGCTGGACTTGATAAATTTTAATAAGTTTTTTCCAGCCTTAATGATTCTAAGAAATGGCTGAACACCTGTTTACTGATGGGAAGGAGTTGATTGAATTCTGTATTTTGCATTGCTTGTTCACACAGCTTTTGCTTTCCCTATTAAATTGTCTGTATTTCAATTCACTAGTTTTCTTTCATTCACCCTTCCACCCTCTCCTTGCCTCCCCACGGAGGGGTAGCAAGCAAACAGCTGAGTGGTGCTAAGCTGCCAACTGCACAAACCACCAGAGTCCTCGTGAGATCCAGCATGCAGTGAGAATTACAGAATCTGTGATACAATTGTGGAACACACCATTTGGGTCCTGGTTAGACCTGAGCAAAATTGACTATTACAATATTTTGGCAAGCTAGATCAACAAACATGCTGGAGATCATAATGGTTCTGTAGAAATACAAACATATATATATATAGAGTATTAATTCAATCTTGATGTTATTGTTAAACTGTAAGTGAAAACTTCCAATTAAATATATTAGAAAGACAATGAAACTGGCCTGCAGTGACACCAAGATTTCAATTACATTTTTTGTTTTAAAAATTCTGTGGCAAGGAATTTGCAGCTTAAATACTGTCCAAATACACTTGCACCTAAAAAATAAGTGGATCTCTTGAACTCCATGGCCTGGGAAAAGGGTAAAGGAGAATATTAGCTTATTTATCAGTACAATATAACTGCTACTTTTGAAACAGCCTGTTTTCATTTGTCAAAGTAGTAACAAAGTTATTAAAAATACATTAGGACAATCTTTATGAAAAGGATTAAGCTAATTAATAAATTACTACAATAATCTATGAACGACCACTAATATTTTGTCTGGATGAGCAGATTCAGATAGTTCAACTGACTTCTCAGATAGTAAATTGCTAAACTGTTCACCATTTCTATGAGAAATACAATTAAATTCTTAACAACTCTAATATCTCTGCCAAAAATACAGATTTTTTGCTTTTTTTACCCAAAAAGAATGTATTCCTACAAGAAGAGGGGGGAAAATCTCTTCCTGCATATATTTTCCACGACTCCAGAAGCAAAGGTGCTGGCAGAAGCAGGTGATGGGGAACACAGTATTAGAAACAGGAAGGAGCAGGACTGTTGTTTTCAACAGCAACCTGAATTTACGTTGTCTTCAGCTGACCACCAAATTGCACCTTGGTTTGCACCCATTGTCTCCAGACTCCGACTTGGTAAATCACTTTTTTTAATGCTTATTTCTGTCTCATGCAATACAAAAATCTTTAAATATGAATAAGTCAGTTCATAAGCTCACACTAGGGAGAAAATATGACATGTATATATGTGGACTTTCTCTAAAAGAGTGTCTTTTACTCTTGTCTTTTTTAAGTCTTTGAAGCTTTATATTCCCTCTGATAAATTTCGTCTGTGATTAATATATTTTTCATTTTGCCTACAAATAATAATAAAGAACAAAGCACAAAATAACCAATGGGAAATGGGTGAGATCAAGGGAGTGATTAGCTTTGACAAGTGATGTCTAAGATCTGTATAACATATATCAACATATATGAACGTATATTAGGCCCATTACGAATATAATCCACAGGAATTTTCAGAGGAAACAGATATTTAATGTAGATTACATTACACATAACTTTATAAACCACTACACTATTTGGCAATAAGTTTTTTTTTCAGATGTGGTTACCTTTCTGGAAGAATTCCTCTAATTTCTCCTTGAAGGGCTGGAGATGCTCTTCAGAAGACTCTCTGCAAACTAACTTCATCTGCTTTTCAGAGGCTACAAAAAGATGAGACACATTTATGACAGAAGAAATGTACCAGAAGTAGATTTCAGCACCATAGGAGCCTACATCTAAATTAGTCACCTGAATTTACTTTAGAGGTTATAAATAAGCACTAAGAAATCCAACAATTACACTAAAATAAGAAATATAAATACTAGTCAAGCATACTAAATAAAAAACTCTGTATGTGTTTAAAGAGTAGAATTTGTCTTCAGCAAAGAGTTTAAAGAGTAGAATTTGTCTTCAGTAAGGAATTTGTTCTAAAAATCCTGCAGTGTGCTAGGGCTTGCTACTAACACAGCTTGCCTCACACACTAATTCTAGATGGTATATTTAAAGCTTTAAAGTCTGTTTCTGTGGTGAGTGAAGGATCCTTTGTATCTGGATTGATTTTAATTGGTCAGCGCCAGGCATCCCATACTCAACCATTTTTCCTGAAACAGATGCATCAATTCAGCATTACTTGAGTATTCCATCCCCAGACTGTGATATGAAACAGTTGAAGTATGTAAGAAAGTTAACTTATATTTAAATGCAATTTGTTTACTATTTAATGTATCTGCTATGTTAAGAATGAATGCCATGTCAATTTCTGAAAAACTTAATTTCATTCGGCAGTAAATTTTAACAGGCCTAGAACTTCTAGTAAACTTAGTGCATTCCAGTGTTCCACATTAAATATGACAGGAGGCAGAAATCAAAATGAAATTACTTTCCATTTAGCAACTGAATTTATGAACCACTAAAAGATTTTTCTTTCACAAGTTTTCATTCTCAAGAAGCTACATTTAGATGGAAACTTATTTTGGAGTTAAACCTAAAACTTATAGTTTGACTGCGTGAACTGTATTCACACCATATTGCTACCACCATTAAACAAAAATTAATGTGTGGAAACAGAAGCTGAGCCTGTGTAAAATGTCCCATTATTTAAATTTGCAATGTAGTGTAAAAAGTTAGAGGAAGGTTGAAAATAGATGCATGCATTTTACTGTGCAAATAGTATTGCGCTTATAATATCCTTGGACCATCAGGATGTACTGAAAACTACCACAGCTTTTCAATTAATTAAGACCAGAAGGACATTTGGTCAATTCTTATAGAAAAATACGCATTCCCACCCAAGACTGTATTTTAATTTAGCAACCCTCCACGACTCAAATTGCAGGTTGTGTAAAATGGCCTGGGCTACAGTCTAAGTTTATCTTTAATCTATAGTCTTGTATCTGGTAGCATATGACAAACCTTTCAAATGATTCAGAATAAAGTCAATGGATATTTGTTGGTATGCCAGATAGTAGGCAGAATGGAGTGGTGATTTAAACATACTAGACTGGGAAAGTGTCTTTTATTAGCTGCTCAGTTATGTATCTTTAATAATTTAAATTAAGCAAAAAAAAACCCCAAAATCAGGCATGTTTATGACATCTTAAGATTATTTTCTAATGATAAATGCTGCTTACCATTAAAAATTTGACCTTTCCGTGATTGTCACCATACACTGATTGAAATGTATGTATGCCTAATATTTATGTTTACAGAATTAGAAAGAGATTTCTATCAACCAAATTGTAACACTACTTTGGAAGACAACAGACATTAGAATTTTATAAGACGAAAAAATCTAGCAAAATAACTGAGACAGTATTGGAAGTTTCTGGCTGTAAGTTTGAACAAAATTAACATACAGGTTTGTCATCTATTTTATCGTTTAAACAAATCTACAAAAAATCATGGGTCAATATTTAGAAATTATTTTGGATAAATATAAAATGGTGAAACTGTAGAAGTATTATAATACACACAATATGTTCAGACATTTGAAACACAGTAAATGCCCATAATTCTTACAGTCAATTAAAGATGCAAAACCTGCAAATCAGTATTTCTTTTATAATACTCTCACATAAATGTATATAAATCTATACAGAATTAAATTTCTATGAATATGTATTAGAGTAATAAGCTTGTAGGTACAGTAATATCTAAACACACTCAAATATCTCCAGAAAGGCATTTTCCCAAACATACGGTGTTGCTAATGCATCCTCTGAAGCATTGCAAGCTTCCTGGATGCTTCCTACAAGCTTTAATAACACAAGAATTAGAAAGGTTATTCAGGTAGGCCCCATGTATTTAAGTGACAAAGACTAGGATGAACTGTTCCTAAAGTAAAAAGAAAGCACATACACACTACCTTTGGTAGGTTTTTTTTTGTTTTTTTTTTTTTTTTTTTAAATTGAGGTTACTAAAATTAACCTTAATTAGATTACAAAAACTAAAGGAAAATCTGGATAAGAAATACCAACACATAGAGCATACAGGAAAAAATTGATTTGGATAGTGAATTCTTAAGAAGAATCCTAATATCCCTAACAAGGAGATAAGTATTTGGAATAAGGGAAAAGGAACAGTAAGAAGAAAGGCAGAGAAATGAAGAAAAATGGGACAGATGACATACCAGTTTCAAATGCTTAAAGTGATCTTGGAACCATGAAATTGAAAGAGACAGAAGAAGTCAAGTAAACACTGGCAAATTCTAATAATTTACACTATTGTAAAACCTGAAAAATAGACCTTTTAGACTGAAGAACATGACCAAATTTGCTTGGGGATAGATATAGCAAGGAATGATGGAAGTGTGTTCTCAAAGGAATCACAAATCAGATACACAAAAAGACATATTTTGAATAGGCAAAAAGCATTTAATGACACAATTAATGTGAAGTTTTTTATTAGAACAGCAGTTGTGATGATACATATTAAAGTCAGGTGGTCTTTTTCAAGCTGCTTTAGTAATAATGGTGGAAGTCTACCATATGACTGTGTGACCTACCTCAATTCTACACAACATAGTAAAAAAATTTCTGGTAACCAGCATTCACTGAATTTCCTGTTATATAAGGTTTTGTTTAGTTGGTTTTTTATTTACTTGAAACATAATGTTAAAAATGTCATGGCAAACTTTATATAAAAAACTTCCAAAATTGGATAGTCTAGTTCCATAAATTGCTTTGATTTTCCTTGCTAAAACTACTATAACATGAGGGAATCTTACATCTATTTTTTATACTTCATTCTCATATTCAGCCCAGTACAAAACTTTTCGTCTTTGAAAGAAAATTACTCAGCAAAGTTCTTATTAGAATGATTTGGAAGTAAAGGATCCTATTATGCATTCCTTCTTTTAAATACATACTGAAAAGCTGCTTTCTAAAAAAATGTATTTCTGAAATTCTGAGGAATCTGAGTGAAATCTGAGGAAGCTGACAGCTATCAAACCACACATACAATTCTTCTCTCACCATCTCCTTCCAAAATAATCATTTGGGAAAATGAAAAACCTGTTTCAGCATTACTGAGTTCAAACAGATGCAAATTCTCCACTAATGTAATAAACTTTTGGTTCTTTTCCTGGGTATGAGCTGTATGTTAGTGAAATTGAATGTAATATGCTATTTTGAAAATTGTTTATTTCTAAATGAGCTATTACAGAAAAAAAAAAAAAAAGAAAAATACAAGTGTGCGAAAGTATTTGAAAGCCCTTACAAATTGCTGGATGTACATCATGCTTCACCCACTACAAATCTTGGCCACAGAAATGGAAAGCATTAGCAAAACATTAAGACAAAGTTGGAAACTGCTGATTATCAGTTTGCCACTGTCTTCAGATTTAATGCAGTACTTGGCTCAAAAAGTTCTTTAAAAATCCCCAATATAAGTGAAAATATTTACAAAACAGAATGTCTCTCACTTAATGCCTATTGGGCAATAGTCTTAAAACTCCACAGACACTTGTAAATCTGTCAAAAGAATCATGGGCCATAAACAAACTTTCATGTAAAGAGCATTTCTGTGTCAATCAGACAAAATTTGGAATTTTTAAAGCACCATTTTAAATGTAAACGCAAAACCAGAAATAGTTTAAAGTTGATAACAGTAAATTACTAACTATTTACTCACCAGAACGCACCAGTAGCATTTACAGGAATCAGTCTGACAGCAAAACCAAGTATCAACACCATGAATTCCTATAAAGCTGTCACTGACACTATCCCCTATGAGTTATGCCTCTGTGAAAGCTGCTAAAGCTGCCCTGCTCCTGTCTGTTCAGCACGGCAGGTTAGACTGCCAGGTTTGCTCTTTTACTCAGTGTCAACGCAAGCACATCTTTGACAGGAAGATTACTGTTTGACAACTCTTTTTTAGAGCTCTTACCTATTCTGTTCCAAAGAGCATTTGAAATAATACTGCAAATGGATTCAGTGTAGTGCTAAATAATCCCAAATTTCTGTATGAGAGAATCCATGATCTTTTACAGTGCACAAACCTGTTACACTACTTGGATCTATATGCCCAAATAAAAGCCTAATAAACTTCCCATAAATTTCATAAATTTATATCATTCAGCAAGTGCTATATCATTTTCTCATTATTGGGTTCCTTTGGTATTAATTGTCTTGCTTGGAACCAACTTTGCAAGCTAAACAAATAGTTACTGGTGGAGATGCATGTTTACCCATTGGACACCGTGGCACGATGTGGTTATAGTCTCCTGTTATTAAATGCACTTAGGTACCTACTCACTGGAGCTGTTCACATGGAATTAATTTAATGCTTTTTGCACTATCTACAGCTTTTGTGTTTCTGTAAAAACTTGCATGTAATTTTCTTTTCAGACGGAATTTTAAATAATGTACAGAAGGCAAGAGATCCATCTTGATTCCGTGGGAGCGTGGTAAGAATTTTAACAACTTCCAACTGCAAGAGGGCTGCTACTGACTCAGAAAAGTTTCAGAGACAGTATTTTATTTGCCCTTTTGGACCCATATTGATCATCAGTACATGCCGATAAGAGGAACACACAAATGTTAAAGCACTACCACCAAAGCCAGAGCAGGGCTTACAAATACGAATGCCTCTGAGCAAAGCAGAACTGGAAATGCTGTGAAGTGGAGAGGGAAGTTCTCTGAGACAAAACTATCTGAGAAAA